TCAAGGCTACTATGAACAACTTTACATGCATAAACTAGAAAACTTAGAGGAGATGGATAAATTCCTGGAAATATACAACCCTCCCAGATTAAACCAGGAAGAAATGCAAACTCTGATCTGACCAATAACAAGCAGCAAGATTGGAATGGTAATAAAAAAATTGCCAACAAAAAAAAAATCCAGGACCAGATGGATTTACAGCTGAATTCTACCAGACATTCAAAGAAGAATTGGTACCAATCCTATTGACACTATTCCAAAAGATACAGAAAGAGGGAATCCTTAAATCATTCTGTGAAGCCAGTATCATCCTAATACCAAAACCAGGAAAGGACATAACAAAAAAAGGAAACTACAGACCAATATCACTGATGAACATAGATGCAAAACTCCTCCACAGAATACTAATGAACCAAATCTAACAGCATATCAAAAAGATAATCCACCATAATCTGGGTTTCATACCAGAGATGCAGGGATGGCTTAACATACATAAGTCAATAAATTTGATACACCACATAAACAGAATTTAAAACAAAAACCATATGATCATATCAATAGACACAGAAAAAGCATTTGACAAAATCCAGCATTGCTTTATTATTAAAACTCTCAGGAAAATCAGCATAGAAGGGACATACCTTTAGGTAATAAAAGCCGTCTATGATACACCCACAGCAAATATTACACTGAATGAGGAAACGTTGAAAGCTTTCCCCCTGAGAACTGGAACAAGACAAGGATGCCCACTTTCATCACTTCTATTAAACTTAGTACTGGAAGTCCTCACCAGAACAATCAGACAAGAGAAAGAAATAAAGGGCATTCTAACTGGTAAAGGGGAAGTCAAACTGTCATTGTTTGCTGTTGATATGATCGTATACCTAAAAAACCCTAAAGACACCTCCAAAAAGCTCCTAGAACTGACAAAGGAATTCAGAATGCAAGATTAATGAACATAAATCAGTAGCTCTGCTATACACCATCAGCGACCAAGCTGAGAATCAGATTGTGATCTCAACCCCTTTCACAATAGGTGCAAAGCAAACAAATAAAAAAGCAAAAAAAACAAACAAACAAAAAAAAAAAACACGTAGGAATGTACATAACCAAGGACATGAAAGACCTCTACAAGGAAAACTGCAAAACACTGCTGAAAGAAATCCTAGATGACACAAACAAATGGAAATACATCCCATGCTCATAGAAGGGTAGAATCAATAGTGTGAAAATGACCATACTGCCAAAAGCAATCTACAAATTCAATGCAATTCCCATCAAAATACCACCATCACTCTTCACAAAACTAGAAAAAAAAAGGATCTACAATGCATATGGAACTAAAAAAGAGCCCACATAGCCAAAGCAAGACTAAGCAAAAAGAATAAATCTGGAGACATCACATTACCTGACTTCAGACTATGCTATAAGGCCATAATCACCAAAATAGCTTGGTACTGATATAAAAATAGGCCCATAGACCAATGGAACTGACTAGAGAACCTAGAAATAAAGCCAAATGCTTACAGCCAACTGATCTTTGACAAAGTGAACAAAAACATAAAGTGGGGAAAGGACATCCTATTCAACAAATGGTGCAGGGATAATTGGCAAGCCACACGTAAATGAATGAAATGGGAACCTCATCTCTCACCCTATACAAAAATGAACTGAAGATGGATCAAATACTTAATCTAATACCTGAAATCATAAAGATTCTAGAAGATAACATGAAAAACCCTGGTAGACATTGGCTTAGGCAAAGACTTCATGATCAGGAACCCAAAAACAAATGCAACAAAAACAAAGACAAATAGGTAGGACTCAATTAAACTAAAAATCTTCTGCACAGCAAAAGAAATAATCAGCAGAGTTAACAGACAACCCACAGAGTGGGAGAAAACTTTCACAATCTATACATCTGACAAAGGACTAATATCCAGAATCTACAAAAAGCTCAAACAAATCAGCAAGAAAAAGCAAATAATCCCATCAAAAAGTGGGCTAAGGACATGAATAGACAATTCTCAAAAGAGGAATTACAAATGACTAGTAAGCATATGGAAAAATGCTCAACATCACTAATTATCAGGGAATACAAATCCAAACCACAATGTAATACCACCTCACTCCTGCAAGAATGACCATAAACAAAAGATAAAAAAATAATAATAATAAATGTTGGCATGGATGCAGTGGTGAGGGATAAAATACTGAACATTGGGTACAGTGTACACTGCTCAGGTGATGGATGCACCAAAATCTCAGAAATCACCACTAAAGAATTTATTCATGTAACCAAACACCACCTGTTCCCCCAAAATCTATTGAAATAAAAAATAAAAAATTAAAAAAAAGTAATGATGTTACCTTTTGTTAAACATGGAAGCACTATAGATTACTTATAGTATTAGAGGCGGAGGTCAGGGGCATATAGATTACTTATGTTAGAGGCAGAGGTCAGGGGCAGAGAGGAGATGGAGACAGGAGAGAAACACAAGTTGAACTTCTAGATTTTACCAAGTGGACTAAAGAAATCTCACTGAGTCTTTGGCAGCAGCATATTGCTAAGTGTAACGTGGGTCCTAATTTTGAAATATTTTCTGATGGCCCTTCTCCTATTGTAAAACCAATTTTCTTTCTGTGCATTTTGTCTGCTATTATGACTCTGGGGAAGACACCAGGTGAATGCTGCTTTCAGAAAGAAACAGGGTACAAGAGAATCTGCCGCCACACAGGGAAGAATTACAGAAGGACAAACCAACCTTTTCTGACCCTGTGTGAAGAAGGGGAGAGAAGAATTAAGCAAGGATGTCAGGTACTAGTGTCCTTCTTTGCCCTCATTCTTTAAGGGTCCAATCTGGGTGATAAGGAAAAGCAAGGAAACTGGTTCTTCATCAGAAGATAGGTTGCCTCTGTGTGATTCTTCCTGTATGACAGAGGCTTCCCTTTTACTGTTTCTTTCTGGAAACAAGATTCACCTGGACCCTTCCCCAGGGTCATAAATGAAGAGCTCTAGACTTTGCAACTAGAGGCAGTGGTGAGGATAAGCCTTCTGCTATTAGTACCTCCAAAAACCAGATGGAACAGACCAAACGCCAGCAGACACAGATGGAGCCAGGGCCAGCCTAGGCCACCCCACAACAGAGGCCAGCAAGGATCTGGGGGCATTATACAGATCCTGGGCCCTCTCCTCTGTCACCCAGACACCATCTGTGTGGGCTGGTATGAGTGGAGAATAAAAACCCGAAAAAAGACTGCCGAAACCTGAACAAACTGAGATGTCCTTTACTGACAAGTTTTAATTGCCAGCCGCCCTGCCGCCACTGAGTGGGGATTGGAGACGAGGGTGGTCCCAAGGAAGATGAGATGAGCTGTAGCAAATAAAGCACAACAATCCAGCCTGGGTAACATGGTGAGACCCTGCCTCTACTAAAAATACAAAAAAATAGCCAGGTGTAGTGGTGCACACCTGTGGTCCCAGCTACTGGGGAGGCTGAGGCAGGAGGATCACTTGAGCCCTGGAGGAAGAGGTTGCAGTGAGCTGAGATCGTACCATCATGCTATTGTAGTCCAGCCTGGGCCACAGAGTGAGATCCTATCTCAAAGAGAAAAAAAAAGCAACAATCCTGGGTGTCACTCTCAATATATACCCAGGATCAGAGAGGTTGAGAAGAGCTGGGATTCAAAACAAATAATCAAACTCAGTACAATTCTTTAGGAAAACAGGTGAGAAAGTAAGTTGTTTTGGTTACTTGATCTACAAAGTGACCAAAACAATTCAGTGGGGAAAGGATAGTCTTTTCTACAAATGGTGCTAGGAAAGTTGGATCCTCAGGCCAAAAAACTGAACTTAAATCCTTACCTCATACCATATAAAAAGTTAACTCAAATTGGCTCTTAGACCTATTATTTGGTAGAAAATACAGAATAAAATTTTTGTAAGCTTGAGTTAGCTAAAGATCTAAGGTGAGTTTAGGAAATTTTCTATCTAAAGCAACGAGTTTTTATTCCCTGACGTGTAGAACCTGATATGTGTTCCATTTCATTTTCCAGAATAATTCATTAGCCAAAGACTCCATGGTCAAGGCACAGAGCTAAATCCAGAAAGGCATAATAGTAAGAGATTTATTTTCATTTATTCACTCTTTCCTGTCTGTAATAGTTGTATAATTCATCTGTTTTGTTTGTTTGTGTGTTTCTTTAGAGACAGGGTCTCACTCTGTCACCAAGACTGGAGTACAGTGGTGCAATCATAGCTTACTACAGACTTGAACGCCTGGGTTCATGTGATCCTGGTGCGCGAGACTCCCAAGTAGTTAGGACTACAGGTATGCAACACCACGGTCGAATAATTTTTACATTTTTTATAGAGACAAGGCCTCACTATGTTGCCTAGGCTGGTCTCAAACTGCTAGCCTAAAGCAATCATCCTGCCTCAGCCTCCCAAAGTACTGGGATTACCGGAGTGAGCCACCATGCTCAGCTTAATTTCTCTTTTTAAAATTCAAATTATTATTTCACTTCTGGGTATCAATTGAGTTCCGTTTTTTAATAAAATGAACTTTTATTTATTTTATTCCCAAGGGGCTTATATTGATTCAGCGTGCAGACTCTTCCCCCTTTTCTACCTTGCTACTTTTAATGTAATCATTTCTTTTGAAGAATTAATCTTCATAGGATTGTCATGAAGATCACATGAATGCTCAGAAAGCACTTAAAACGGTACTTGGCATAATAAGTAAATGACCTCCAGAGTTTTTCCTTTTATGGAGATTTCTTCAATTATCAGTAAGCCAATTATGATGGCTCATTATTAATAAGGAATTATTATGAATTATAAAAGTAGACATTTGTTCCTCCATTATTGTATTATCCACTACTCAGTCCACAATAAAATAACCCAAAACAGAATTCTGAATTTTATTAGAGAATATATCTAAAATACAATATTTATTAAGTTATGATATATTGTCTGAATTGAAATATACTCTGTATCACAACTCTAATTATAACAATTTTTACACATAATACTTCATTTACATCTCTGTAATTCAAAAGTCACTAAATTACAACGTAATTCATATTTAAGATAACTTTACTATAAATATATAATAATTTTTAAAGTTTTTCTTTAATATAACATCTTGGAATCATGAACATTTATTTTTTCTGGTTTACATTACATAGAATCATGACTATTTTACCTGATTTGCCTTAACTAGCTCAATTTATCACGTGCTATGGATTTGCACTCAATCATTCTACTTTCCTATGTTTTAAAAGCAGCATTTTAGTGAACAATTGAGTGCTCATCACCCTACATGCTGTGAACAAAGTCAAGGTACTTTATTCTTATTTCTTATCCTATATTCTGTGTTACAGAAAAACTACTACCATAAACAAAGCACCAACCAGCCACAGCAGTTGTTTCAAGCATGACAATTGATCTAGTCTTCACATTTTATTAGTAAGCCTATCAAGTAAGAGACGAAGCGTCTAGAAAACCAGACACAAAGCAATCAGGGTCCAAATCACCAAGGTAGATCTGTGCTTAGCTAGAGGGAAACACCCGAAGATTCATTATTTGGATACAGGCTATGGGACCATCTTATTTGAAGGAAGCTTTGATTTGCCTGTTCTTCAGTGGCTGAGCCGGGCGCCAGTTGTCCACCATCAGTTCTTCAGGTTCACCCTCCCCATTGAAGTTAAGTTTACGGAATTTCGACATCTAAAAGACACAATAAAACATTGATAATTCACGTTTCACAACAGTATTCAGTTATATGCTTGTGTTGTATCTTTAAATACATTCCCCTGCCAGGCACAATGGCTCATGCCTGTAATCCCAGCACTTTGGAAGGCTGAGGCAGGTGGATCACTTGAGGTCAGCAATTCAAGACCAGCCTGGCCAACATGGCAAAACCCTGTCTCTACTAAAAAAAAAAAAAAAAAAAAATTAGCCAGGCGTGGTGGCGCGCCTGTAATCTCAGCTACTCGGGAGGCTAAGGCACGAGAATCATTTAAACCCTGGAGGCAGAGATTGCAATGAGCTGAGATTGCGCCACTGCACTCCAGCCTAGGTGACAGAGCGAGGCTCTGTCTCAAAAAGCAGAAACAAAAACAAACAAAAATTACATTCCCCAACATTCACAGTGCTGTGCATCAAAGGCCAAAATTCAATTTGATTCCTAATAAATACATAATCACATATAGATTATGTATGCATGCTTTAATATAACAAACCAATTTATACAAAATACACAAATTCATTGGGGACATTTTTAAAGGAAATTTTCAGTGACCTTTTAATTTTAAAATCTAATCTCAAAAGTCTATAAACTCATACCTTTAGATGCAAAATAATAACAATTTTAGTTCCAAACTAAAGTTTGTTTTCTGCCCCAGGGAAGACAAACTATCACATCTGTACAATTAGATCAAGTGGTCAGGACCTGTAAGCTCTACGGGCTGAGCGACGAGCTGGCATCTCCAAATACACAAAAACACAGAAATGAATTTGCCCAGGCTGATTTGCTTTAACTAGCTCAATTTATTTCATGCTATGGAGTTGCACTCAACCATTCTACTTTCCTGTTTTAAAAATAGCATTTTAGTGAACAATTGTGAGTGCTCATCATCCTACATAGCCCTATTGGTATTTTGCCAATATATGCATTTAACATTAGAACCCCTTGTCACTGGTTGATTTTTACTCCCTTGTAAACTTGTTTCAGTTTACTGGCCACCACTGAGATACAGGAAGCCATTAAACAGTCTCCCACTTCTTCAAGGTTCTTAAAAAGTGCTACTTTCCTCCCTCTAACCAAGACTTGATCCAAATGAAAAAGGGTGGTTTGGGCAGTAATACAGCAGCCCAGGAATCAACAGCCTTTGATCTCTTTTGTCTGGTAATAGTCTCTCAATCACTCCCATAAAGCCACCTTCCATGCACGTACATTATAACATGCACAGCTATGGTTACTGAATGCTAGGGAGCATTCTAAGGATATATAGGGTTGACTCATTACAACAGAATTCCAGCAATCTGAAAGAGAGTCTATTCATAAAGTGTAATCAGGTCAAACTTTTGATCAAACTAGTATAACCGATTTCTGTTCCTCACTGCACCAATTAAATTACACTCGTCACATTAGTCAACTTGACTCATTATTTTAGCATCACAGAGACAGAGCCTGAGTATAGAAAATAAAGGTAGCAGAATTAGCAGACCCGTTTAAACTGCTTACCTAAAATCCACACCCCCCCACCCCTATACTTCCTCATTAACAGACATCGGCCCTCTCCCTGTAAGCCTCAGCGGGGTAATGAAGTTGTAGTGTAAGGAAAGGTTATAATGCCACTTTGTTTTGTAGATGGAGTGTTTACGTTATAATTTAAAACATGGAATTTTTTTTCTTCTTTCACTGTGAGCAATCCAACTTTAAAGCAATAGTCTGACATTTAGAGCCATTATAGCAAATGGATTTATGGTGTACACACACCCACAGGCCGAAATGATCACATTCCCTGGCTAGAGACTAAGCAAGAAAACACAATTTTAGCCAGTGAGAAGTGAAAGGTTTGCTAGGGGCCTTCAGGGAAAAGCTTCTCCGCTCCTAGGGAGCCAATGGAAGAGGTATTCATTTCCTCCTCAAGAAGTGGTTGTATCCAGATGTGATGCTCAAAACGCTATTGCAACTGCCTTGAAGATGAAGTCCTCACCTGAAGATGGGCAAGGCCAAGTCAAGGGAATCAGACAGAGGAGGACCTGGAGCCCTAGCTTCCTGAGCTAAGCATGAGCCTCCCTCCAGACTCCATGTTATAGGACAAGAAAAATAGCCCTATTGGTATTTTGCCAATATATGCAATTAACATTATTAGTTTAATACCACTTTCAACTTTAAAGAGCAAACTCAGGGCACAAGGATTAATGCAGTAGGTTCAACTGCCCTTATCTATATGTGTATTTCGGCCTGTGGGTGTGTATACGCCATAAATCTATTTGTTATAATGGCTCTAAATGTCAGACTATTGCTTTAAAGTTGCATTGCTCTCAGTGAAAGAAGAAAAAAAAATTCCATGTTTTAAATTACAACGTAAACACCGCATCTACATAGCAAAGTGGCATTATAATCTTTCCTTACACTATAACTTCAAGAAGCTTGCTCAAATATCTTATTACTACAAGGTCGATCTTCAAGTGACATACTACAAGACAAGCATGCTATTTTTTAGGCACACTTTGATATGCTACAAGTAATTTTCCAGTTAGATATATATTTCCTTTAAAGAAAGATGTGAAGCATCTTCAGCATTCATAAGTTCATATTCTAAAGGAGGACACAGGAATAGAATCCTTGCTCCCAGACCTGATTCTGTCCCAAGGTAGCTGAAGGGAAAACACTTCAATTTTCCTGTTTCTCAGACTGTTGTTGATCAAAGTGATTCAAGCCAGTGAAATGAGAAAGTTGGACAACATAATCTCTATTGCACATTGCAGCTCTAAACCTCTATTATTCAGCATTTTTGTAGCTTTAAATCACACTATCACTACTCACATAGTGACCATTTTCAAGATTGTTGGCTCCTAAAGCTCTCCTTAAATTATTCAGGATCCAGCCTCTTGCGAATCCTAAGGAATGTTCACTTTCTACATTTCAACTGTGCGCTAAGAGACAAGTCTAGGAAAAATTCATTTGTATCCACTTTTGTGGCCACTCATCAGTGACTTAGAAGCTGCATTAATCACTTGAACATCACACAATACATTGTATTGGAAATGTAAGAATACCTGCTCTAAGCCTCTAAAGCAACCTGGAGTAAGTTTTAATAGATACGTGTTCTCCAAGGGATGACTCTCACCTGTCAGGATTCAGAAATGCATTCTGATATAAATAAAACTGCAGAAAGCTCTTATGTGAGTGAGTAGTAAGCTGGGAATTCACTGATATCTATGTAACCTTGAATATGAACTCTCACTTTTCTAAGCCTCAGTTTCCTCATAACTGGCAAAAAAAAAAAAAAAAGCATTTATTAGGTGACAGACACCTTTTTCATTGAATCTTTACAATGACTATTCAATTTTACAGGCTAAACAAACTGTGTAAGTTTATAGCTAATAACAACAAAGATTTACTGAATGCTGTTTATTTGCTGAGCACCGTCAAAGGCACTATTTCCACAGCAAGAAGTAGCAGAAGGATTAAATCTCAGGTCTCTCTCACTCTGGAGGCCAAGGTCTTCTGCCTTGACTAAATGCTCCACCTATAAACAGACCTGTCATTAGAAAACCAACCTGCTCGCTGCTGACGCTGATGGGTTCCTTGAGCACAATCCAGGTCACACATTCCAGAAGAGGAGGGGTGGTCAGTGAGCCTGGGTAGGTCCAATAATCCAAGGATTCAGGAAGGAGACCACGAGGATCGAAGTTAGTGAAGTCAGCACTCTTGCCCTAGAACAAGGCAAATACGCAGGTTCAAACCGTCACATTGACACAGTAGGAGGAAGGTAGGAAAGCAGGAGACACAAATAGGTATACTCCTCTCTGATGGTCAAAAACACTTGTTAAAAGAGAGGTCCTATATTCACTGGCAAACAAAATAAAAAGAAATTAACAGAAGACATTCGACTTGAAAATATGTGGCAGGTCTTAGCAAAACAAAACAAAACAAAAACTATTTTCACATGTCCATTTTTCATGTTGGCCATTTATCTAAAATCCTTACATTCTCCATTAAGTCATTAACTGATCACACCCAGTATTTAAAGTGAGACTGCTGCCACTAAAATGAGGTGACTTCAGATTGCAATAACAGAAATAGGGTATCCCTGATGAGGAGGTGATTTTTCTCGCTCTAGGTCAGAATCAAATAACTACATTCTGTTTTGGACACTACACTTTTCAAGCAAACAGGAATGATTTATTGGAAGAGTGACAAGGTGGTGGCAAAGAGAGAAAATGATGTCATATGAGAATAGTTAAAGGGAACTAAAGATAATTAGCTTGAGGTAGGTGAAAAAACAGAGTAGAGAGAGAGTAGGGTTATGTGGAAGAGAGATCAGGTTTATTCTATGAATTCAAGGGGCTCAAGCCAGGGGTGTAGAGTGAGCATTTCAGAGGATAGATGCTGCTTCAATGTGAGGATCAGCTTTATAAAGCCAGGGCTGTCCCTGGTGATAAGTTCCCCATTACGGGAAGTGACTGTAGTGTTTAAACAGATGCTCAACGACCTCAATACAACTATGCTGTAGAGAGGATTTAAATGCAGGATGAATGAATGCAAAGAGGTTATAGAATAGAAATCTCCATGAAACAGGGCCTTGTTTATCTTGTTCACCATTGTATCTACTTGCTTGCAAAGCGACTGGCACATAGTACATACTCAACAAATATCTGCTCTGTGAGTGAGTGAATAATTTGACTAGAGGACCTTTGAACCACCTTGTAGTCATAAGATTCTCTGACTCTTACATATGGATGTTCAAATGATGGGGGAGCAAGATTAAATAAACACAAGTCTTAGAATTACGCTAGCATTAGGATCAACTTTGTTGAAAGAAACATTAAATATTTAAGGAATATTCTACCTTTATCAACTGCTCATCCAAATATCACATGTCATTGAGACTGTGCAATTTGATCAAAAGAAGTTTCTAAAACCAATGGAGTATTGAAAATCAGTACCCTAAGGAGGTGGCAGAAAATTCAAATTTACCTTTGTTTTAATGGAGTCCAGCACATCAACAACTTTCTGAAGGCCTGGTTTAGCGCTGCCAACCTAAAGAAAAACATAAAGGGCAAGATACTATCACCCAGTTGGTACTGTACCAGTTTTTATTTTTATTTGGGTAGCTCTATTAGAAAACATCCAAATAGCCCAAATCCTCCACTTTATACATGACACCCATCAGTACTGGCTTGATGACACTGACACCATAGACTTGCCTACTTTCACCGAATCTTCAACCTGCCTCGGCTTCCACTCAGATAGTACTCCTGAAACCACTGGCTCAATTATCCCCAGTGACAGAGCTCTAACTTTTAGAATACTCTTCAAGGACTTGCCTTGATTTGGACTTTACACTATGGTCATCCCTTCTTTTTAAAAATTATCTTCTTCTTTGGCTTTCCCTATGCCTTCCAACATCCCAAATCTCTCTTAACTCTTGCCTTTTTTTTTTAGAGTCAGAGTCTTGCTCTGTCACCCAGGCTGTAGTGCAGTGGCATGATGATAGCTCACTGTAACCTCAAACCCCTAGGCTCAAGTGATTTTCCTGCCCTTGCCTCCCGAGTAGCTGGGACTGCAGGTATACACCACCATGCCCAGCTAATTTTGTGTTTTTGTGTTTGTTTGTTTGTTTTATGCCCAGCTAATTTTTAAAATTTTTTCATAGAGATGGAATGGCGCTATGTTGCCCAGGCTGGTCTTGAGCTCCCGGCCTCAAACTATCCTCCTGCCTTGGTGTCCCAAGGTGCTGGGATTATAGGCATAAGCCACCACGCCTGACCCCTTTTAAGTTGTTTAATTTGCATCTCTCCCCTTGTAAAGGCCTTACATTTTGCAGTTTCTCATGATTGCCCCCTGGGCAGCTTTCTCATCTCCCTCTTGGTGCTGTACTTGGATGATTTCATAGATACCTGTAGCTTTCACCTCAACATATGAATCAGAGCTCATAAATCTCCAGTCCAGACTTTTCTCCATTCCCCTTTACCACTGTTTAGAAGGCAGCTCAACCAGTTTTGTCCCACTGTTGCCTGAAATTCACTGTCTTTCCCCTCTTCAGTACCTGATCTTACTTTATCATGATATAGTACTGTTTAGCCTCAGATTAAATGAAAAGAAAACAAACACCTAGCAGTCACCCAAGTTGATCTTTTTATGTTCTTCACGTTTACATTCAAACAGTACCGAATAAACACCTCTCCTATTGTCTTTCTGTCCTCCATCTCCACTGCAACTAGCAGATATGAAAGGAGGAGATAAACTTTAAAACATTTCAGGGACAAAGACATTTCCTAAGCTCTTTTGTAGAATGTCCTGTATGTTACAAATGTTCTGTCTGGTCATTCTTTATTAAAAATAGGAAAAAAAGAAATAATTGGGCCATCAACTAACCTTCAAAAAAATACCTAGAACGGCCAGTCCATCGGGTTGCTGCACAGCTTTCCCAAAATCCCCATATTTTGTGTTCCAGTGAACCAAGTGAAGCTAAGGTGAAGAAACAAAGCCACAGTGAGTGGTTTACACAATCAAAGCCGACAGATTTTGTCCAATGGTCTTTTTCTCACAGTAAAGGTTACTTAGGAAATTGAAAATATGGATAATTTTAAATCAAAACTTTCCTTTCATTTTAATTCTAATTATCCACAGAGTACTTGGTATAATAGCAAGTGTTTTCATCAATAACTCTAAGACAAAGAAATGTACAGTTTTGACAGAAGGCACACATTTGATATCCAAATTTATGTTAAAACAGGATCCTCTAATTTGAGTCTGTTTACTTTTTGCAAATGGTGGAGTTGGAGACAGTAGAGAAAGTTCTGCAGCATTAAGTATAATGTCACAATTAAAGGTTATAAAAAGCAAATATGAAGGTCCTTTGTAAAAGAAGTGGTTCACTGGGTGCGAGTTGAATTTACAAATTAAGCTTTTGAAATTAATGCTATCAACTTATAAACATTTTTCCCTGGAAAGAAAAAAAAAAGTATATCTTACCTCTGCAGCATATTTCTTTTTATCCACAGTATGCTCAGAACCTTGCCCATCAAGTGAACCCCAGTGAAAGTGAAACTGAATCAATCTGTAAGTGCCATCCAGGGGTCCTCCCTTGATCACTATAATTAAAAACATACATACATGTAACATATATGTATGTATCTGCATACACATACATACATATGTATACACACATACATTCATACACACGCACATGAAACACATGTCTAAATATTACCATCTTTAGTTCTATTTTACAGTACTAAATGTTTGCCTTTCATCACATTTCACTCTGAAAATTCAATCCAGAGTCAAGTTTAGTCTATGGTGCTGAACAAAATCACTTCGTCTGTTTTTATTCCTCACATGTGTTGTCTGGAGAAAGGATGCTTTTCACATCTTTCTTTCTGAGCATACTGATTCCTTTTTCTGGATTTGTTTTAGAGTCATAGATTCAGGTCCAGAGAGAGAAAATTTTAAGTGAAACTAATAATCCCTCTGTGAATCATTTAGGAAGCACCCATGTAGCCACTGGCCAAATAATTGGTCTGCCACATACACTTGCAAACGTGGGACCGTCTGTTCTACCAAGGCCCAATGGCTGCCATACAGCCTGCTTTGCTAACCTCTGATACCAGTTCTTACACACCCGAATTTGTGAAATAAGTATTCCATTGATCTTAACATTGCAAAATCCAATTATCCTTATATAGGCTTCCCAAATTCTTTAGAATTTGGACTGTCACTGCTGCTGGCTAGCTTTGTTCCCTTAATTTTTTATTATTTATTTACATATATTTTTATTATTATTATTATTATTATGGTGGCTCACACCTGTAATCCCAGCACTTTGGGAGGCTGAGGTGGGCTGATCACGAGGTCAGGAGATCGAGTCCATCCTGGCTATTATTATTTTTTGAACAAAATCTTGCTCTGTTGCCCAGGCTGGAGTGCAGTGGTGCGATCTCAGCTCACTGCAACCCCCGCCTCAAGCAGAATTCAAGTGATTCTCGTGCCTCAGCCTCCCGAGTAGCTGGGATTACAGGCGTGCACTACCATGTCCAGCTAATTTTTATATTTTTAGTAGAGGCAGAGTCTTGCCTTGTCGCCCAGGCTGGTCTGGAACTCCTGAGCTTGAGTGATCCATTCACCTCGGTCTCCTAAAGTGCAGGATTACAGGCATGAACCACCGTGCCCAGCCAAAAGTTTTTATTAATCTTCTTTGACCTTAATTTACTCATCTGTAAAGTGGATACACTAAATCATTTACTATTTTACTAATAATTTATGGATCGTCTTCTATATGCAGTGTAATGTGCTCTATTATCTCTAAGAACTTAAAATTCTAACTTGATAACTATTCCATGATTCTACTATTTTGGCATTAATGTAACTTCACTAAGCCAAATCAGTACTAAAACTCACATACTTGGGCTACGAACTATCTGTACATAACTAACAAGTTGCGTCTTGACAGAGGATTAAAATAGTGTGAAATCACTCTTTCTCCTCCCCTCCACCAAGAAAACTCTGTACCTAACTTTATATATATTAATGGGATTTAACCAATATATTCAAAAGCTTTTAGAGGTAGTTTAGTTCTACAATTTAAATTTTATTTTTCTAGTACTGGGAATTAAACATCTGTTGCTATAAGTGTATTTTATTAGCTTTACTTTATAATTCCATAAAATAACGACCCCAGATTTACTTTGGCATTGCAGAACAAAGGGATAACTTCGGTACAACAAGATTTGTTCATGAGCTTCACCTAAATATGCTAACATGGTAGCAACACCCATTCATCTATTCAAAGTGAAACACTGCTTTGAAGATATTTAAGCAGTGAGGTCTTTCTGTGGTTCCTGATACAACCTCTGGCTGCCAGATCTGTTTTACAGTAGGCCAGGATAAAAAAGGAAGAATGAAAACAGAAAGAATTATAAATGGTGTTATGTTTCAGATCTGCTAAGAAATATGAATTTGGATGTATTCTGACAAAGTCACATCTCTTGGAACACCAAAACAACTTATTATGACAGTATGTTTCCTGATAATTCTATAAGGAAATATTAGCTTCTAATTCTAGACTCTTTTTAAGAGAATGAAAGAATTCTCTTTTTTTTTAATAATAATATACCCTTAAAAATTAAATATATGTTCATGAAATAAATTAATACTGAAAAAAAATCCTTTATAATAACTCTTTAAAGCTAGCAACCAACTGGCTGATAATAAGAAGCAAATGTCATTTGTCACATCATTAATTCTACCAAGTGGTAAAACTAACTAAATAAAACTATACTAAGCATCTTGAGATAACCAGTTTTCCAAATGTAGCTTCTTTCTCCCCAATGAAGAATCATAGCAGGATCTTACATTTTAAGGAGAATAAAGTTTATTGCTATTTCTTATTCTTATTCTTTCTCTTACAAATCTTAAAATTTCATCTTAATTTGTTTCTAAGAACATTTAGAATTAGGCAAGAGTGTGTGCAAACTTTTATTAAACAATGCTTGCTAACAGCTAAGACAAAAAAAAAAAAAGAAAAAGTACTCTGGGCTCAATGATTAAACACATTCAGTGCTAATCTCCTATCACCAGATACCTGTTTTAGCCCCTGTTAAAATAAAACTCATTGCTATGAAGATTAGAAACCCACTGTAACTAGAAAAAGTTATTAAATCCTTAACGTTTACTTGCTACAGAAGGCAACAATTCTAGCAAACTCTTAGCATGGAGTTTAGTCAATGAAGTCCTTCAAAAACATGGTTATAATAAATTGACATAAACTCAAACTTTTTATTTGCGAAAAATAAAAGATAATATTTTGGTTTAAGTTAGGGACTTTATGCTATATTCTGGATCTACTTATTTATTTAAATAACTCCATGCCATTTTCTAAACTGTTGCAGTTTAAAATGAAATCTATTTTCTAATGTAAAAATAATTTTTAAAAATAGCAGAAATTGCTAACTGCGTATTTTTTCTCTGTAAAATCCAGCCATGGCAGTGGCGCTTTAAAGAGTCAATGGTTTATTGTGCCCCAGAAATGTGTTTTGTGCGGGATGGAGACATAAATACAGTTTTCTACTCTAACATTTTTTCAAGACCTCCCAAATTTAATTTAAATTCAAATCTCAACATCAAGAGCTCCAGCCAATTTTAATTTTCATGATCTGTCATCAATTATACATACTCTGTATATAACAAAAAACAAGCACTAAGTGTAATGTTATAGAATAATGTGTCTTCCTATACATATTATTTGAGGAAATTATATAAATTACTTTTTGAGAAAAATAAGAGATCTAGCAATATTGAAATGAATCACATTGCTTACACAAATTAAAAGCTGAACATTTAATATTTTTTAATTTTTTCTCCCTACTCACTTAAACTAAATTAAGATGCACTGAAGTGACAGACTAAAGACCTTAATGAATGTCAACAGTTTCTTTTAAGTCCAAAATATAAATAAACTAGTCCCAATAATCTTTAGTTTAAAAATAAATTTTAAATGATTTCCTACTAATGAAGCAAATGATTAATTCTACAGAAAACATGTCATTTTCGGGACTATCTTTTCTATAAATAACCTGAAAATGTTAAAATCATGTATTACTGTGTTGACTGTTGGCAGCAGCCAATAATCCTAAGGCTACGTGACAATATAGACAAATCTGGGGATAAAAAACATACACGTGTTCCATTTGTTTTAAAGCAATAAGATGTGTAGCTGTCACTTTCGCTAGAGTAAACACTGTTGAAATTCAACAGAAGTTGTGGTTTAAGCTATGTGGCAATTATATAGGAGTAAAAAAAGAAGCTGTTTTGATGTGAATATAGTAACTACAGTGTTTAGAATATGTTGGTCCATTTTCTAGGTATTTAGGGTTTTGCTGACACCATGACTGTGTGCATGACAAGCCCTTTCATTTGTTGCCATGCTTTCTTTTAACTTAGGACTGCTGTGGAAGAAAACTTTTAGAGCTTCAAAAGCAAGTCTCTGAAAGTCAAGCAGGATCCATGTATGAAGATCCATTATGTCATACAGACAATGGGTCACTTAGAAAGAGCACAGGTAAACTCATCCAGCTTCCTTTAATCTTTTCTTGAAATAACAAACAGATTTTTAAAATTTCAATTTCTAAAAAACAGAAATGATGTAAGACTTGGATAAGAGTTGGCCCAACAATTCTGGCATTGGCTTTCAAAATTTGTCCCTAACTTTGCAATAAAGCAGGAGAGTATTAAACTCCTTAATAAAAGTTAATAAGTTAGCAGGAGTTAATAATTTGACTACTATTCTTTTCTCCTAGATAAGGCCATTAATAAAACATCTCAAGCAGGGTGAGTTATTATTTAGTAAGCTTTTTTAAAAACCTAAAGGGATTAGCAATTTTTCATTAACTTAAGGTGAATTTAAGGTGGCTTATTTTCAAAGGAATTTAGAAGATTGATCAGAGCTCTAACCCAAGCTTCTAGTTAAATCCTATTAACTCCACAGTTTAAAAAATTCTCTCAAGCTTAAATCAGCAATAAAGTCAACCCACTCAGTTCCTGATACCCAAGTACCTAAGTTTGGATATAAGAGAACATTTAAAGCATATTGGAAAACCTCAATTTATGAGAAGTTCTAGAAGGCTGAAATCTCATTAAGACAAAGAAGACAGGTAAATGAAACGCATTTAAATTCAGGAAATAAGAGGTATAGGAAATCTAAAAATGTTACCACCACAAAAATAACTCCTAACAAAAAGATGTTAAACTGTTGATTTGTTAAAATTAAATGAGTGAAATAAAAAACTCTTTGACTTAAGTGTACAGAAAAAAATGCCAGTTTTTAAAAAGCATGGTATGTACAAACTAAATGTCAAATATGGTTATCCTTCAAATATTTTTATTCAAATTCTATTTTTAAGTGATTGCTATTTAGTCCCTCCAGCAAACTGGCAAGGAGATGACTTAGCAAGTTATTTAAACTCTTCGGCTTCAGTTTCTTCATGTTTATTTTAGGTGAGTTTAACTAGGGTATCTCTACTCTTTGTTTTGGCTTTGAGAGCCTAGGATTGTCTTATTTAAAAAAAAAAAAAAATTCTAAAGGGAGATTTTCCACATGTTTTTTCTTTGTGTGTGGTTTTGTTTGTTTGTTTGTTTTGAGATGGAGTCTCATGCCATCGCCAGGATAGAGTGCAGTGGTGTGGTCTTGGCTCACTGCAACCTCCACCTCCCGGGATCCAGATTCTCCTGCCTCAGCCTCCTGAGTAGCTGGGGTTACAGACGCATGCCACAACACCCAGCTCATTTTTTTGTATTTTTAGTAGAGACGGGGTTTCTACTACTGTTGGCCAGGCTGGTCTTGAATTCCTGACCTCAAGTGATCTGCCTGCCTCAGCCTTCCAAAGTGCTGGGACTACAGGTGTGAGCCACCATGCCTGGCCCCCACATGGTATAATTTTTAAAAATTTCTTCTGTAGATGTCTTTTCCCTTAATATTGACATTGTAATATATTCTGCATCCTTGTTTAACCAAAGTAACTGAAAATGTGGAAAAGAGAGGCAAAATTACAAAGGAATCTTTCCTATGCAAATGAGGGCAAGTCCTTCCTGACCTTGCTTTGAGTGTGCCTTCTTGCCTTTCTGGAGCACATGCTGTGCTCTCTTAAGTCCCCTGGTATTTCCTATCTCCCTTTGTCTGGACTCTTGTCCAAGACATCAAAATCCTTCAAGCCTCCACATAAGCCTTATTTACCCTGGAAAGTCTTTCCTGTCTTACACAGTTAGACTGCTAAGCCTCCTTCATGTTTCCATAGTTCCTCGGATTACTTCCTTTCTGCACTTATCAAAGTGGCAGTCAGGGTCTACTATTTCTATGTCTTTCTACTTTAGATATTTCCAGCATGGGCTCCGGGAAACAGGAGAGGGACCAGGCCTCCACCCTGCTTTCATGATGCTTAGCTTCCCATGCATTTAAGTGGTGTTAGTAATGATTTTTTTTTTTTTTTTTTTTTTTGTAGAAGAACTAGGTGGATAATACATGTGTCTCTAAAGGCATGGGTGGGAGCTCCTACCTAAACGCCATGGTTTTCATCTGTTTCACAATCTAAACATGGCCAACTTCTTTCAAAATGTATGCATTGCTCTCCACAAGAAATAGCTGCTAAAAATGTAGCTAGAACCAATTAGTTACTGCTTATGGAGAAATCCGTCAAAGTTTAACAGATTCATGGTAAAATATATAACTATATAATAACTTCATACATAAAATAAGTACATATTCAGTATGATAAACAGAATGCTTCAGAAAATATAAAAATAAAATTTTAAAATACCATCCAATGATGGGAACTAATCTTAAAGCTGTTAAAGAAAAAGTTTATTCAGAAATCTTACCTCAGGTGCAACATTTACAGCAATTGTCTAATAGAGGCGGTCGAAGGGTTCAAATTGTGACAACAACAGAGGCCATTTATTGAGGAACTTCTATGCGCCAGGCACTGGGCTAGGTGCTTTACATATACTGTCCCATTTCATCCTTCCACTGTGGCAGATACTATTGTTACTCCAACTTAACAGTTAAAAACAACTAAAACCTAGACAGTATTACTCGCAAAGTCTCTGAGCTAGTTGTCGGCAGAGCTAGAACTCAACTCTAGGTCTCTCTGACCCCGGTCTATGCTGATAACCACCAGACCATATGTTCAAATCCACTTTCCAATAATATGTATTACTAGAATAATTTATTTCACTATCCATTTTCTTTTTTTTTTTTTTTTTTTTTGAGACGGAGTCTCGCTCTGTCGCCCGGGCTGGAGTGCAGTGGCCGGATCTCAGCTCACTGCAAGCTCCGAGCCCGGGTTTACGCCATTCTCCTGCCTCAGCCTCCGAAGTAGCTGGGACTACAGGCGCCCGCCACCTCGCCCGGCTAGCTTTTTGTATTTTTTTTAGTAGAGACGGGGTTTCGCCGTGTTAGCTAGGATGGTCTCGATCTCCTGACCTCGTGATCCGCCCGTCTCGGCCTCCCAAAGTGCTGGGATTACAGGCTTGAGCCACCGTGAGGACGATAAGGAATCTCATTTGCTTTCATTTATTGGAGATTTGTTTCTTCAGCGTTCCAAAAAAGACTCAAAGTATCCAATTTCTATGTAGCATCCAATGAGATACAAAATGTGGTAGACATTACATCCATTGAAAACAATGACATAATTGTGGCTCTTTCAAAAAGCACAGCTACAGACTAAAGTAGCTCACTTCTTTTGGTTTGTAAATGACTAGACATGAAATGTTATAGTATCCTTTCTGTATGTGTAATACCTTGAGACCTTTGGCCTTGTCATGTTATAAATATACAGTATTCTTTACAAGGAAAAAAGTGTTTAATTTAATTATATAACACTGTTCCTTTGGAGTGAGAGAAATGCTTGGGAAAGCAATGTAGCAGAATCACTGAACTGTCTTCAATGTACAACCTTGACTTGATTCTAATAAATCATCATACTGTGTCAGAATGTGTGAGTATGATTGTGAGTGTGTGTGTGTGTATGTATGTATGTGTGTACTGGGGACGGTGCACACAGGCAGGCACAGGTAGGTTGAAAACATTTCTCAGATGATCTCCACATTATCCCCCATCTAATTGTTTTCCAGAATCACCATTTCAGAAAGCCAGGTGTTTACAAATTTTTTAAAAGTTGAAAGGAGGGAAAAATTCTTTTTACAAAACCAAGCTGACTATATAGGATAGCTGCTGACAAAGAATAGTCAACCCAAATGGTTATAATTGCATGTTATACAATATATTAGTACCGTAGGTCACTACTCCAAAACTTTCTCATTTTACTGCACCACTCCTCTCACTCCCACCACCAAACAAAATGTGTTTGCAGCACCATTTCATTCAATGACCTTCCGAGCAAAGCACTCAGGAAAATAGGGCACTGGCAATTAAAGTAACTGCTGAGCAAAGAAGGCAGCTACTATGTCTGAATGGGATTGTTCTCTTGTTTCAAAAGAGAGAGAGATTAAAAAAAAAAAAGCAGCATTTTTTTTTTTTTTTTTACAGTGAGCATCCTGTAAACAGCTCTATTACAAATAAATATGGTAATTGGTTTTGTCAGTAACGGGCCAGGTATGTCCACCAACTCTACAACATCTTCGTTTGTGGAATGAATTTCTGAGTAGATATCAAAATATGCTGCCATCTTTATCACACTAGCCCAATCTTAAGAAATACCCATAACATTTTCCAAGAATTTCAGCATTTTAAATTGGCACGTTTTTTGTTACTCTTCTCGCTGCTACCTTGAAGATAAGGCTCACTAAGATATACTTTTTAATGGATATGCATCAGCTCTGGAAGACAAATATTTTACAATCTTAAAAGTTCAATTAGTGCAAATCTCATCATGATTGATCTTTATTGCTAGGGGACTTTGTGCCTTTTGTGACTTTTCACAGGCATATCGCAGTTATTCAATGCCCTACATAGAAGTCAGGGATTTCACAGAGGAGAAACGGCCCCGGGACACTTCAAACTAATTAGCCTACTTCTCAGAATCTGAGACCTAATGAAAATGATCAGGGTGGCATCCTTGAGTCCTGAGACAAACTGTGCTATTAAGAGGGTTCCTACCACTGTTCCTGGCTCCTTCCATTAAGCTTGGAAAACAGCTACTGTCTGAAATACACAAGTTATTTTCTAAACACTGACCTGCTTTGTCCTGAGAGTCATCAAACTCCACGTTGAAAGAATGACCATTGTTGAGGATCCTCAGAGAAGTTGCTTGATCATAGGAAACAGACAGGGGCTTCAGGGAAGGGTCATACTTGGCTGTATGAGTGTTGATGTCAACAGGGGACTGGCGCTGTCCCTTGGCAATGGGGAAGTCCTTATGCCAGTGCTCAGGTCCTGGGGGAAAGAAGACGTGTGAATCCCCCATTGTAGGGAAAGGTACACCCAGACCCCTAGAGAACAATCATTCCGGAGCCTATCTGCTCAGTTCCAATTTTAGAAGCACCACTTAACAGTGGGGTAAATTTTGGCAAAACACGTAATCTGTGCCTCAGTTTCCACATTTGCAATATGGAATAATTAGAAATTTACCTCATAGATGTCGCTGTAACAATTAGAATTGATATATGTAAAGTTCTTAGATCACTGAGTGCTATATAAATATTAGCTATTTTAAAGTCGTTTTACTGAAATTCAGCAAGTGAAGTTGGGCAGACACTAATGTCAGGGCTTGTGGTTGGGATTTTGGGATATGCAAGCTCACTTAAGACATTCAAGGAGATCCGGATCCTTTCCTCACTGCCCAGGCCCGGGCCCACCCCTCCTTTAACCGTCAGGGTCCCCACTACCTAGGAAGCCCCACACCTTCCAAAGATGCGCTAGGTGCGCCAGAGGCATGCTTCTCTGCTCCGCTGGCTCGGAAGAACCAGGTCTGAGGCCAAGATAAAACCTGATTCCTGGTGTCCGACCCCCTAACATTAGAAGTCGAGAGATGAAGGGAACACTCGGAAATCAGCGCCATGGATTCAAACCAGCACTGGAAAATGCCCCGGGACAGTTCGTGCTGAGCGCCTTAGCCACAGGTGGTGCTGAAACTGCAGGGGTGTGTGGGGGTGGACTGGGGGGGGGAGGGGAAGGGGGAAGGGGAGTCTCTTAATTTCTCTGCGATCAACAACTAGAATTTTCCGTTAAAACCCTTCCCCGCCTCCTCCTAGGTCCGGTTAAAATGATCCCCCAGGTCGGGACCCGGGAGGGACTGTCCTCGGGTCCCGCGGCCAGGGCTGCGCCTCCCCTCCTTCGGGCCCTGTGCGCCTCGGGCGGACGCGGGGATTCCTCGACAGTGGCCTCGCAGCTGGGGCAAGGGGGGCATCCCCGGCGCCGGGGAGCCGCGAGCGGATTGAGCGCCCGGGGCGCACCTGAGAATCCAGCGCTCCCCGCGGCCGCAGTAAACAGCATGTGCGGGTGCTGTGGGCCCCGGGCCGGCATCCAGGCTCGGGGATCCGGGATCTGGGGGCCGCCGCGCCGGCCACCGCCGGCACTCACCGTTGTGCTTGCCGTACCCCCAGTGATGGGACATGATCGCGCCGGCGGTCTGGGCTGGCCAGGAATCGGCACCGGTCTAGCGGCGGCAGCTCGGGCGCCTGCACTGTATGTCCGCGGGTCGTGCCGGCACCGGCTTTTATAGGCTCCCGCCAACTTCGTGCTCTGGGGCGGCCCGGGGGAGGGGGCCCGGATGGACCTAGGCGACAAGGGGAGGAGGTGACGGGCGGAGGTGATCTCCCCGCGCTCGGGGCGGGCCGGGCGGGCTAGGCTCCGGGGGCGGGGAAAACGCCCTCTCGGCGGGCGTTCAGCGGGGCTCCGGGGCTCCTCTCCCGTCGCCCGGCTCCCCTCGGCCCGCGTCCGGGCCCCAGTGTCCTGGGCTGGCAGCGAAGCTTGGATCTCTGGGCTCGCGTCGGCTGCGGTGGCTCCTGGGCTCCTCCGTCCGACCCGGGCCGCGGAGCGTCTACGCGCACCCCATCCCCCTCCCGGGCGCGGAGTCTGGCGGCGGCGGGGACTGCTCGGGACCCGGACCCCCGGCGCCTTTCATCCCCTGTCCCCATTGTGATCTGTCTCCTGGCCCTGGAGCCCTTCCGCCCCACCCGCGCCGGGGTCTCCAGCGCAAAGGGCTCCGTTTCTGGTTTCCCCGGCCTGGGGCTGGCAAGCTGGGTTAGGAGCTATGACCTTGGGGCAAATAGGGATACGATCCTGGAGGCGCAGGGGAGCGCGCAGCACTGAGTGCTGAGAGCCACGCGCCCTCTGCTGCACGGCCGTGGAATAAAACGAGACAGCGGCGCCACAGTCCCCTGCCCGCAGCCCACGCTCGGGCCAGCCTGGAGGATTGCATTTCCTCGTAGGCTGGCAGAGCCTCAGACGAAGTGTTCATCTTCTCCTTCTACTTTCCTTCTCTTTAAAAAATTAACGTGGGTGAGGAGATGTCCTAAGTTGAGTACATATTGATTTGAAATAACCAAAACTTTTAACAAATCACTTTTCTCGGAAGAATCTAGTATGAGAAAGATAATTTCTTCCAAAGGTAAGAGAAGTTCCCCGGCTGGCCAAAAAAACTTGGCATCTGGCATACCTAGGAATCATTCAAAATAGTTTAATAGGAAGGACATTTTGAGGCCCAGCCAGCATTATGACTTTCGTGGGTCCTATGGAGTTTCGCCTTGGGGGTTCCCTTTTTCGTAAACACGCATTTATACCTACACTGAGATAAAGATAAATACCTTAATATTATATATTTAAACATTTTCCTTGATCAAAACATATTTTTTTCTTTTTTGTTCTTAGTTTAAAAGGAAACATTTTCCTGAGCATCTAAAAGTATTGTGGACCTGAGGCACTGTGCTTACAGGGTCTAATGGGTAAGTGAGGCTGTTTTGAGATATAGACAGAATTCATTTCCTACAAGGGACTTGGCCACAAAAAAAAAATCCGGGGGATTGTGGGAAGGAGTTCGGTTCTGTGGTCTCTGCAATCTCTGAGGGCAATAGTATTAGAGTTACAGTTGGGGAAGCAGGACACAGTTTAATGTGATTGTGTCGGCCTTGACATCACATTACTTACATTTGAAAATATATAGATAAATAAAAGGTAAGTTATTAGTGTACATTTTTGCAATATTTATCTCAAAATCACTCTTTACTATTTATTTCAGTCAATTTCACCCAAACAAATACAATTCATGTTTAGACTTACTTGTTCTTCTTCTAAGATTCTAGAAAATTGTGTGCTTCTGCTTATGTGGGTTTTGGGTTGATGTCACAGGGAATTCTTAGGCACGAAAGCAGCAATACATTTTTAAAATTTTTAGGACCATTGCAAAATGGAGTTTATTTGTGCCTCTGTAGGTGCATCCTATCTGTTGGGTCCCAGTGAGGTAACTTTGATTCTTTACATAATTTTCTTTTTTTTCTTTTTTTTTTTTTTTTTTTGAGACGGTGTCTCGCTCTGTCGCCAAGGCTGGAGTGCAGTGGCCGGATCTCGGCTCACTGCAAGCTCCGCCTCCGCCTCCCGGGTTAACTTAGTTGCTGTGAGACTCTTCACTTGGCCCTGGGGATATGGCGTTGATAGGTGCCAAGAACTGAGTACAAAGTTTATGAATGTAGAGTGGGTTCCCGGGATTCTGTAGAGGGAGCCAGGCTATTTGATCAGCAGAAATGCTTGTCTTTCGTTTTCTGTGAAGCTGGATTATGACTTTCCTAATAGGGATGAAGTAAGAGCATGTTTGATTCTTAAATATGTGTAAAACTTCAAACACCGCCAAACTGCAGTTCACCAAATGGATTATTGTTGTGGGAATTTTCCCTTATCTCTCACTTCTGGAAAGTGAATTAATTCTCAGTGGGAGCAGGCCCTCCCCACAGAGCTGCTGTTAGGGAGAGTATCACATGTTCACCACAGGGTGGAGAGTGGTTTGCCTTTGGTTACTCAGAAGCAATCTAAATTTTTTAGTAGCGTTTTTGGTAGTACAGTGGTTGGCTTAGCATTGTTTTATTTTCCTAGTCAATTGTTTTAAATGGAGTTAACTTTATGCATTCACGTCAGTCAGTCCCAATCTAACTTTATTTTACTGAAGGCATTCTTAGCAGGCTGTCATGATTCACTGGCTGCAAAAGACTACTCTAATACTGGATTTGTTAAAATAAAAATAATACTTATCTTATTATGTACCTATGTTTCCATCAGAGGGAAGGATTGGCTCATTTCAGAATAATCCTAAGTAAAGGAACTGACAGTAACTGGAGAAAAGTACTTTTCTTTGCCTCAGAAAAAAAAAAAAAAAAATCAGTCAGTATATCAGGAAAATGTAATATAAAAAAATCTTAAAGTCTGTGTTCCAATTATTGGAATACAAAACTTCTAACATATTAATCTTAGTAAAAATGTAAAAGAAAAAGTATTCGCTTTTTCTCAAAAAATGTAAAGATATTGTTAAGATATTTTACAAAGTGAGATATACATTATTTATTAAATATTTAATTAAAAAGCTAATAAAAAGCTAGATATTCTCATATTTGTTACAATTATAGTGTTAAAGTAAATATCTGGGACTGGACTCAGTGGCTCATGCCTGTAATCCCAGCACTTTGGTAGGCCAAGGCAGGCGGATTGCTTGAGCTCAGGAGCTCAAGACCAGCCTGGGCAACATGCAAAACCCCATCTTTACAAAAAAGAAAAAATTTGCCAGGCATGGTGGTGTGCCCCTGCAGTCCCAGCTGCTTAGGAGGCTGAGGTGGGCGGATCATAGCCCAGAAAGTCGAGGCTGCAGTGAGCCATGATCATGCCACTGCACTCCAGACTGGGAAACAGAGTAAGACCCTGTCTCAAACAAAATAAAAATAAATAAATATCTATGGAGGCCAACAGCCACTTGTTTCTTGGGGCTCCCATAGATATTTGCGTGCACATCCTTCTGTCCTAATATTAGCAGTTCTGCATTGTAATCAGATACTCTATTGTAATCATTGGCTTGTAATCCAATGACCCAATAAACTGTTGACTGCTCATTTGTAAAGCAGGAATAATGACACCCACCTCATTGTTGTAAGAATTCAGTCGGTGAGCATAGGTAAATCACCTGTCACGTGTAGGCACTCAGTAAATGATGGCTATTCAGTTCCTCCTAGACAGTGCTAAACAGAAAATAATGTAAGGAATGCAAAATTAAACACCTGGGCCAGGTTCAAGGGAAACATTTAAGAGGAATGAGTCTCCAGCAGCAAGAGGTGTTTTTTTTTTTTTAGCTGTTTTTTATTTTTCAGTTTTTATTTTTTTGTGGGAGGACAGAGGAGTGTTTGTGTCATGGAGATGTGCATTCTACCACACTTGTGTTTTTCTTCTTACACTGTGCCCCCTGAAGTTGGGTACTGTGTCACATTATTTATCTCTGTATCTTAGGCACCTAGCACCCTTTACCTAGGCTGAGTCCCAGGATACATGTAGTGGCTACTCACATAGTACTCCTTGAAATTATAAACTTTGAAAAATCCAAATGGAGATAACGGCAGTTTCACTTTGCAGAAGTTAGTAAATAATTTTGTTACAGATTACAGTTAGCAAATAACGTTGTGCTAAAATTAGGTTGGTTTTGAATCTGGATTAATTTACTAGCTTTGTAACTTTGGACAAATTGCTTGATTGTGCTAAGATTCAATTTCCTCGTCTGTAAAACTAGGGTAACAGTAATACCTACGTCACAGAGTTGTGGTGAGGACTAAGATGATACAATGTGTGTGAGGGATTTAACCTAGTGCCAATAGTTAGAACTTGATCAATGTTAGTTATCATTACTACCATTACATGTTTCTCAGCTCCTATTTTGTGCTTAATATTTTCTATGTGATAAGTGGGCTACACAAGATGACTCGTGTCTTCATTCATTCACTCAGCAAATCATTCCGAGTGCTATTATGTGTCAGGCATCAGCACAGAGGCTGTAGCCATAAACCAGATCAACATAACTCCTGCCCTCACAGAGTTGACATGGGGATGGATGAGGGTACTACACAATAAATGACTCAAAAAAAAAAAAGTAAATTTCCAATACTGAGAATTAGTATGAGGAAAGTAAAACAGGAATGAGGTAAAGAATAACAAGTGAGGAAATCCTACTTTAGATGCAGTGATTATAGAAAACCTATTGAAGGAAGTGCATTTGAGGAACCACTAAAAAAAGATCTGGGGAAGGGCATTTCAGGCAGAGGAAACAGCAAGTATAAAGGCCCTGAGAAAGGAAGTTTCTAGAACAGAAAAGCTTGTGACTGGAGCATGGCGATTGAGGAAGAAAAGACAGATAGTGACGTCAGAGAGAGTCAGGGGCTACAGCCTGCAGAGCCTTGCAGACAATGATAGCAAGAAAGGATTTTATACTGGTTGCACAGGGAAGCCACTGGGGAGTGGCTTATGCACAGGTGTATTATGTGCTGGGTGGGTGTAATACAAACTGCAACAATATCGCATTGTAGAATTAAAAGAAGTTTGGAGGTTAACTGGTCCAATTCTTTATTTTATAGATGAGGAAACTTGTAGAAGTCCCCAGATACAA